TTAAATATATTATGCTAGAATATTGAAAACTTAATAATGATAATAATTTTATAAATATAATAAGTTTTTGAATATAATTTGTTTGGAAATAAAAATTCAATTTAAGACTAATTATAATAGTGAATATATTGAATATAATATATCAACAGTGCAATATGAAAATTGAATTTTATTTATAAATAGTTTGTGAATAAAATTAAATTATTAATAAGATCTTACAAACATTTTATATAATTAATGCTTATCATTGCATCATTCAAAAAATAAAAATAGGTTTAAGATAATAAATTGATATTGTCATAAGCAGTGCCTTCATGGATTAATTGTCAGATTCATTATAAAGAAACCAAAGAGAGCCAACATATTGAAATTCGTTGTTAAGAAATTAAGAAAACCCATATTTAAGAATTTAAAAATGATTATACTATTTACCATATATATATAGTTGGTCGTTTCAGTTATACCCTATAGTTAAAATTGCAATGCCAAGCGTTCAGCAATCACTAACAGTCATTCGAAGCGCGATCTCTTACTCATTAGCTCTCTCGAAATATAGAAGAAATACGTGAAATAAAGATGCGAGATAATTATCGAAAATAAATATCCACAGTAAAATATAAGTGATGCTATAATTGTGAAGCGAAAGTATATTCAGTAAGAGAATTTAGCAAGTTGGAAATGAAAAATAATAAATCAAGAAGAGGTGAAGGGAAATGGAAGGTAACGAAGAAGATATAAAGATGAACAGGAAAGAAAAGCAAAATTCTGTGGCGCCGTTGAGTATTGGTACTATTGGCCCTTCGTCGGTCAGTTTTACAAGGAAGATGCGCAACATTCTGTATAGACTACACATGCATGTGCGTGTAAGCGTACACGATAGAACCACGAGTGGATTGGTGCTACTTAGTACGCGAAACGTAGACGCGCGTAATTGCGTGCACACGCCTTGAAATTATCTCCCGAAGCGCGAGCATAGACGCAAATATCCGAGAGTGTGGTATGATAATGTATACAAGTGCTAGTCATTATAACCGCATACTTATACGAGTGCATCCATTGCTCGTGTGGGTACATGTACTTTGGCCAAGACGCAATTCTGAGGCCTTTGCGTAGATTGATCAAGACGTCGTTTTAACTCCGGCGAGTCCAAATATTAGCCGTGGTTTTTCATTTTTAAATAATTATGTTTTTATCAATGACTGTTCGTGTATTATAAAAAATCGAATTCTTTATATAATTTGAATAACATAATGATTGTTTATAAAATCAATTTTCAATATAAATTGAATATTTGAAAACAAAAAAATGATGTTCTGTTTTTGTATTCAGTTTTATTGAAATACAGTTCTGTTTTTATATTCAGTTTTATTTAAATTCAGTTCTGATTTTGTATTCTATCCAAAAATTAATTAAACTTTCCATCGATAATAATTGAAATTAAATAACAGAAATTTAAAAAAAATAATTATCGTAGAGGTAATAATTAGTTTCTTAATAAAAAAATATAATTAAATGAAATAATAAAGTAATTGAAATCTATACATCTAGCAAGAAAAATAACTAAAATTAATATATCTAATAACTAAAAATAATACATCCAGCAAGAAAAATAACGTCAAAAATGTCGATATTTAAGTGTAAAAAATAATAATTTAATGTTTGAAATGGCAATATTAATTAAATAAACAGAAAATCTAGCTTACAAAATAAAAATGAAAATGAATTAAAAAAAGAAAGAAAAATGGATAATCTTCCAAAATGAATGAAGCATTCAATATATACATAGTCATCAGAGTGCTACCATTCACGAAAGATAAAAACGGCGTCACTGGCGTAAGTTTTTAATTGGTGTTGTCACTATTATTTATAATCCGTAAAAAACCGTATTAAAAATTGATACAAGTTGAGAAAATACGCTATAGATCAATTTATTATTAAAGCTGTGATTATTGAGCTGTATTATGGAGCAATATTATACTGTATTATTGAGCTGTGTCATCAGAGAAATTTTGATGTACCTAGTCTTCATGTGGGTATATCATTATGTAACACGAACTTCTTTGTCTTTCCTTTTAGAACATAAATATACATTTTCTCTATATTTTGTTCTGTTATTCATTCTTATCATTAAAATTCAATTATAATAAGAATCAAGCAATGACGGTTAGAACATATGAAGTACATCGGCAGGAATTCTTCATCATGGAGGAAATAAAAAGAGAAGGAATATAATATCATTATACATTAGGGTATTTTGAGTTTTTAAATTATCCTAAATAATAATGAATATGTGAATTTAGAATATCAAATACTATATTTCTATAAATTTCTAGACTGTCACCATTGAATAATTAATTAAAATTAATATTTTTAATTTATTTTAAATTTCAATTTTAGCATTTGATAGACATTTTTTTACATAAGTTGGACATTTATAATAATATATTTTTCATTGTATATTGTTTCCAATTATTTTCATTCAATAATATTTCTGATCTATGTAGATCCATATAAGAGAGCAGTATTGTGAAGAGATTGAGTTGACTATTAATATATAATCTGTCATCAAATGATATGAGATTTCTTTAATTGAAACTATCATGATAGTTTAAAATTCAAAAGGATATTAAGAAAACTTTAAATAATAATTATATATTTTAGAATCATATACTTACTGCATTAATATTTAATACAAAAATGAAAAATATAGTTAATAAATGTAATCGTATACTTGAAAATTGTTAATATTTGAAATTAATGAAATAATTAATATTATTCTTATGTATTTGAAATTTGTCATAAATAAATAATGTTGTTATTAATTACATTTTATTTATTAATTAACTCTATCATCGTAATTCAAACTAATGATAAATTGTTATATGTAATGCAATGTATTTGAATATAATTTAAATATATTAAAATAATTAATATTTTTCTAAGGTTAAAAATACAATCGATTTGAATAATTATACTAATATTTCTTTTAAGAATATTTTTGAAAATATATGAATAGTTGAAGAATTGTTTAATTTATCAATTATTAGTAAATAAAATCCATCCACAAAAATTGTATTTTTATGGATTTAACACGATATAAAATGAATTTATTAATTTACACGTATTAAACTTGGTTGATTAATATTAATATTTATAATTAAGATTTTAATAATACGGATTAGAATAGCTATTTTAGTATTTAATTTATTTTAAACAATATATAAATTATTTGTTAGAATGCCACTAATATAGTTATACTGGCTTTCCCTTTAATTTAAAGACATAAAAAATTTAATATGTTCCAATAAAAACTACTACACACTTACTTTAAAAGTGATGAACATTTGGATAATGTAATTGCTTTATAAAATTTAAATAAAATAATATAAAGGTACATATTTAAGTACGTATTTTAGAATTCAAGTAATTCTTTATATAAAAACCTAATTTGTGGTAAAAACTAAAACTAATATTTGTTTATTTTTGTAAAACAAATTCGTTAGTAAATCAGAATAAAACTACGTATTTTCATAAATATATATACGTTTTTATACATGTCTATATTTTAAATAGTCAGTTACAAAATATGCAGCTTAAGAAGAATTGATGAATATATAATTTATTTTTAAGAAAAATATTATATTCATCTTTGTTTTATTAAATAACTTGTGTATAATTATATGATTTATATTATTATTTTTTATTGAATAGCTTGTGTTGCATAATTTAATAAATATCAATTTCAATAATCTGAATTTTATTTATATTAATTTTAATTTTAATATTAATTAATATTAATTTTTTTTAATCTTTATATTGTCTAAAAATTTTTATTTAGAATATAATTTATAATGTTTGAATACAAATCTAGGAATACAAATACAGTTGTTGATTAATACATATGCCGATGTTTTATTCCTTACATGAGAAATATTGTTACAGGCCCTATCAATAATGTTTATATCTGATGTATATATATATATATATATTTAGTTCAAATGTCAGCAATATTAAATATTTATAATAGACTAGTAAAACAATAATATATTATATATATATATATATATATATAGGTATATAAAGTATAATTTTAATATTCGTTAATTCGTAATAGTTTTCAATTTTGAAGATATTATTTAATATACATAAATACGGAATCCTACTAATTCGGACAAATTCTCAATTCTTAGTAAATAAAAGTATTGTAATGTTTCTAAGTAAATTCAATAACTTTACATTACCAAAATTCTAATACAGTACATAGTATTCAGTTAAAACTACTTGTATTTTTCAAATTCTTGGCAAGTAAAGACCGAAAATATTTTATTCTATATAAAGTGTATCTGAACAAATTAATTAATTTTAAGCAATAAAGTCACCAATTTAAAACATAATATCTGTGTGTATTATTATTATTATTAGAGATTGATATTCAATAGTATTTGTGAGTACTTTTGAACTATGAATGTAAATTAAAATAATTACGAATCATTTGAACTATTAATGTTAAAATTAAAACTATTATTACAGTAAATATTTAAATAATTATACAAAGAAATGATAACATAATATTTGTGCGTAATCATATAATATATTTTTATATACAGAAGCTTAATTTGTTATCTAAAATTAACTGTGATATAAACTAAAAATTATTTTACTAATAATTCAGCATACTTTTTTATATTTTCTTAATTTTGATATTATATTTTAATATATTTAATTATTATATTAAATAGAAAGAAGCTAAGATTTTACATATTTATATGAAAATTGCGGAACTAAATTATAGTTAATGAAAAAATAAAAACAGATAAATTTTATAGTTTTCTATTAAACAATTTAAGATAAAATATTTATTTTCTTGGGATTAATTAAAAAGTATCACACATATTTCTTATACTATTAACTCGAATATTTTAGATAAACGTGAAATATATTTTTAACAATGTTGACAAAAAATATAATAATTACATTATTTGTAGCTTAATCTAGAGATGTTCAAATTGAGCAACTTAAAAAGAAAAAAATTGTGATGCGAAAACTTTTTCCAAGACAAAACACTCAAATTTCGAAAGATTTTTTCTACAATTCGATCCATAATGTTAAGAAAGAATATCGAATTTTACGTTTTTGAGTTATGAAGTATATTTATTTGAACAAACCTCAACAAAAGCTCGGAAAAGATTATCATAAAAAACAAAAAAGGAAAGGAAAATTAAAAAATGGAATATCATTTACTTATAAGTGGGGAATCAATGCTTATTAAATTTTACTCAAATAGTTTTCGTCGATTAACTCGCGCTGTTCATCAAGGAAATATCGATCTAGCTTCTAGTATCTTTGACTTGGTTATTTTTAGTCCTGCCAATATTGCATCAATTCTAAGAATTGCTGTTTCTAAATGTGATGTAGACATGGTAAAACTCATATTGTATCATAAGCCGAATTTAAATCTGCATGTACTTATGGATATTATCTGGACAGCTGTTTATTTAAATTCCAAAAGTATTGTAATGATGCTTATAAACTATGGCTTGAATGCCCACCATTTTGTCGGTTTGTACAACTCCAATCTCCTTCATGCGGCTGTAGAACGTGGCAAAGAATCGGAGGTTGTATTGTTACTGAATCATGGTGTAGATGTTAATACACGCGGTGTTGCAGGAGCAAGTGCCCTTCAATATGCTATACAGTTAAAACAAATCAATATAGTACATAGACTATTGAAAAATGGCGCCAGAATAGATATGCTAAATAACGAACATAATTCAGTCTTGCATACTGCTGCAAACACCGGTAATCTTGAGCTAGTTAGTCTGATGCTAAGTAATGGTGCTGATGCTAAGGTTACTAATTATAAAAAGAAAGGTACATTACATTTTGCGGCTGAAGCAGAATATGAAAATGTATCTGTTGCTGAATTGCTGTTAAGGAATGGAGCAGCTTTAGACGGTGTGGATGAAATGCACTTTACACCATTGCATTTTGCCCTGATGACCAGAAAAAAGAATATGGTAATATCAGAATGTATTAGCAGAAGAATATGCTTGGCAACGAAATTCGTATGTATGTTATTGTGTCTTTTGAAATTAAGAAAAATAGGAGTTGTATTCTGCTATATTTTTTATCTAGTGGAAGGTCCTTTCAACTAGCGAAACACATGCGTAAAAGTATTTTAATAATCAAAAAATAAATTAACAATCATTTTTTGCTCACTATTTAATTAATAAAATATATATTAAGTAAAAATTTACAACATTCATGCTATAAATTACAAATAAATAATAGTTCTATTTTCTATTTTAAGTAATCATTTGTTTTATTTGAAAACAAAATATTTAAAATAGAAAATTATTTTTCGTTTTCAATTTACTTTAATATTGTGATTTTTCGAAAATTAGGTAAAACAGTGATTATATTTGTATTTTGATTAATAAAAATAGCAAAAATATTGATGTTTAATCTAATTTACTATAAGATAAAATGAATATTGCAAACAATAGTAATTGTGAAAGATTCATTGTATTTATAATCCAGTTACAAAGCATATTTTATGGACATTATTTAAATATAATTATAATGTAATCAGTGATTCAATTTAGAAATTTCTTTATAAAAGTAAATACTTTATTCAATATAAAAAAAATGAAAACGATTGCATTGTCGTTAAGCAATATAATGTAGCTTGTAATTACATTAGTTCTTACATTAGTTTGTATATCGTTCTGTTACATAAAGCTATTAAAGACACGATTTTTTCTCTTGTACAATCAAACTAAAAAATTTATGTATATACAATTATCCCATCCAAGAGTAGAAAATCAAAGCACGAACAGTTTCTTCTATAATTAGTACATAATTTCAAATTTTAATTCAAGTTACACGCTATCATTTATTTTTTAGATACAATTTTTTATGGAACAAGGAGCTAATCTAAATGCAAAAACAAAATCAAGTATTTTTCCTCTCTACTTAGCAATAGAATATACTACAGCTTCTATAATTGAATTACTATTAAAGAAAGGTGCACGTGTTAATGAAAAAACAAGTCAAGGCTTAACAGCACTTCATATTGCTTGTAAGAATGGCTCAAAACGAAAAATTGATGTTTTATTAAATTATGGAGCTGATATTAATTCAAAAAGTGAAGTAGTAAGCACGCCTTTATATTGGTTGGATATTCGCTCCAAATTGGCAAAGAATACAATAGCTAAGCACGTGGCTGAATTAAAATTTCAAAATTTATTTATTCGCGAAGAAAATTTATCTATTATTCAAGTATACTCTGATTGGCAAATGCTTTATAAAAAATACTTATGCGAACTTGAAAGAATGACAACTAAAAAAGTTTATAATAACATTTCATTTTATCATGTTCTATCAAAAACTTCTAATAAATTATTGCCTTTACTAAGAAATAATGACTTTGTTTCTGCATTTCAATCAACTAATCTACCAGAACTTTTTCCGCTTTATGAAAAAGAACTTAATAAAAAATTTGCAAAAGCAAGAAAGAAAAAAAAACAATTAGATTTAATGAGAACACGTTTGAAATCAATATTTTCACAACATTTACCAGAAATTGCCTTGGAAAGAATTTTACTTTATTACTCTGAGGAAACAAACAAATAGATTAATCATATAAAAATTTTAGCAAATCAAACAAAAAAATGATTAAGGTACGTCCCTAATATAACTACAACTATATTCGTCAATTATTTTTCCTGTTGTAACAAAAATCAATAAAAACATTCTAATTAAAATAAAGTGATGTATATTATATTTCATTACAAAAAATGTTATTTCTTTTCAATAGAAAATTTTTTACAATAATCTAACACAATAACTTTTATTATAATATAATAAGAATAATTATTTTTAATTAATTATCGTATTGCATATTTTTCAAAGTTTATATAAACAAGTTATTTAAGTTTTTAGATGATATATATGTTTATAATAAAAATAATGGCAACAGTTTTAATTTATTCATTACTTCTCTCGTATTCACATTCAAAAATATTTTTTCAAACAAAAAATTATAATAGTATGATTAAATATTAGCTGTTTATATTTAGTATTACAATACTAACTTTTATCGTTACTTACTATATAAGACTATAATAAAAATAATTATAAGAAAATAATTTTAATAATTATTTAAGTAATTGATTTATTAAAATAATTAATATTATCAAAAGTAGAATTAGTATTTTATAATAATTATATTCTTATTATAAATGTAATAATATAGTTAACTAATGATATGATTTTAAACAATAAAAACTGCATTCTAAATAATATGTCATTCGTCAAACTTAATTATTTCGATTTTTATTTAGATTATTTTACTGAATAATTATAGATATATGTATATATTGTATATAAATTTTATAAACAATATAATTTATAATTAGCATAATCAAATTTGTAATATAAAACTTATGTAAATATGAAATACATGAATTATTAATAGATTAATTAAAACTTATTATATATTATAATATGAGCAGATAAAGTTATATGTAACAAATGAAATATAAAAACATTATAATAATTTGTAATAGAACTTTACTATAGTAATATGTTTGATACATAATATGCTTATTAAAGCTAGATCTAAAATAATAATTTGCATTCCTTTTGTAAAAATAACCAAACTTTATTCTATTCGACTCTTGAATTAATTCAATATTTATTACTATAAATAATTCATTGATCCTAAAATGATTAATATTATGATATTATAAATGATTTATATGATGTATGGAAAAAACGTTATCATTCTTTCTGTATTATAGTAAATATAAGTGTTTTTGTTAACTGTCATACATAAAATATTTATAATTTATGTATAAAAATTTTATATGTAGTTTTATTAAAAGTTAATATGTAATTAAGTATATTAAATAACATACGTAAACATATGATTACATAAAATTTATACAAATGCCTTCTGTAGTTCCCTTAATTTTATAAATTAATATATGTATATCACATCAAATGTTACTTAATTCAATATAACATAAAAATTATCAAATCATTATTTTAATCATCAATCATCGATCATATAATAAGTATTACTATTTATTTGTATTCTAAAAATATATTTACTTTAATTCTTATTTTGAAAAATAATACTAAATAAATGAAGTACACAATGAAAACGCATACATTTTAAGTAAAATAAACAATCATATGATATTTTCATAAAACAGTTTATGGAATACCATAAAAAGAAATACTTGATTAAAGCAAAATATTTGAAAAAGCTGTAAATCACACATATTTTTCAAAAATGAAAAAAACATTTTAATTTTAAAGTTTATTATACTATGAATTAATATAAAAAATTCTTTTTTCTACGATTTACCTATTCGTACGTAATATATATATATATATATATTACGTACGAATAGGTAAATCGTAGAAAAAAGAATTTTTTATATTAATTCATAGTATAATAAACTTTAAAATTAAAGCTTATTTGAGTTATAAAAAATCATAAAATTACTAAAATTTTAGTTACGATATTAAACTAAATATCTTGATTAAAGTAAATCGTATTAATGGATAATTCAATTAGTAAAAATAATGAAATTTTCTTATTATGTGAAAATTTTATATATAAAATGAAATTTTCTTGTTATGTGAAAATTTTTTTATTTCTAGTAATTGAATTATCCATTAATACGATTTACTTTAATCAAGATATTTAGTTTAATATCGTAACTAAAATTTTAGTAATTTTATGATTTTTTATAACTCAAATAAGCTGTTCCTACATTAATCTATTAAAAAAAATAAAAATAAAAAATTATTAAAGTGATTGTAGAATTGTAAATATCAAAGCATAATAAATGAAATTACGTTTTTTGTTTCAGAAATGATAGTAATACTGTACATTTTATACTTATATTTTTGAATATATTCATATAATCAATAATCTAGGGATCTTTGTTGTATATAGGATGATTTTATACGTATATAAACTACAATAATTGTGAAATAAGAAGTATATCGCAGTAAACTTGCTAAAAATTAGGATATTTAGAAAAGAATAAATAATAAATTAAGAAAACAGAAAAACAATGTAACCAAAATTCTGTAATGACATAACATTTTCAATAATAGCATCGATAAAACTGATGACAAATCTATACAGATAGAAAAATGAAGAGATAAAAATGTTGAGTACTTATGCATTTATTTTTATTCCTTATTAGTTCATTTCGTGAATAATTTAAGAAAATAGATAACTCAATAACTATGAGGTATATAGCAGAATATTATGCGAACATATATAATATATATTATATTATATTACACATAAATATTTGTGTCTGTGTGTATGTGTCAACAAGCATAGGATGCACGTATAAAGTGAAGAAAACACGAAAGATATACACAAGAAAATCAAATACCAAGGATTACAAATTCAATAAAATAAATAATTTTATTTAAATGGCTTAAAATACATTGAGATTAAAAGAATGAGTTTAAAATAAAATGGATATGACATATGTAAAAGATGAATAAATTGCTAGAAATGTATACAAAAAATAGTTTATAAAAAGTTGAATAAGAAAGTAAAGATAACAATTTTATTATTGTTTCTAGTATTAATACAAATTCTTGCAGAGAGTTTATACAGCATACGAGAAACTTTTTTTGTTTTAAAAAGTTTATACACAATATTTGGTACTTTTTTAATTTTATGTATTTAATAATAGATATATCACTACAAAATGCCTTGTAATTAGAATATCAAAGTTTAATTTTTTATTATCCTTGGCAAACAATAATTTCTATTTTGATGGCCAAGAGATATAAACAAAACAAGTTTTTAGCAAAATTATATATAAACTTAAACTCTGCTCAATTAATTGATTCTTATATGAAATTGAATCTATTATATTACATTAGAATTTGTAAAAGTTTGCAAACGCAAATTTTTCCATCGATAATTATAATTTTTGGTAGAAATTGACTTTAAAATATGAACTATAAATTCTAGGTATTATATAAATAGTATATACTATCTAGATAGCTAGGTATAAAAAAATTAAATAAAAAAAAATTTTATTGAATGTTTTTCTTATTTTTATGTAAATAAATTGTATATTGTATGCATCATACATTTGGTATATTTAAAAATATATGTTTCTAACACAGAGCATTATCAAACTTACGTAAAATTTAATGACTAATCAATTACTAGATTTAACTATATTCAATTTTAATTTTTCATTTAATCAGTCTTTTTATATTCTTAACCTTTATTAATAATTTTATAATACATAAGAAAAATTTTTTATATATTTCGACATTCGCAACATAAGAATATTTACAAGATTTATATATAAGACCATTTATATTATATATTTTGTATGCACTTGATATCGAAATATGTAATTACGAAAGCGATATATTACTAATTAGAATGTATTTTATTACTATTTACAGTAACATTTATTATCTTTAATTTAAAAATTACATAAAATTGCTGTCAAAAAACAAATCAAATGTGAAAACTATTGGATAATATATTAACTCCTATGTTTATGTCTTGAATTATTATAAAAAATTCAAACAGAATATTAACAATAAAAAAGTTTAAATTATGTTTATGTATATAATTATTTTTAATATTGTGATTAATACCAAATTTTTAATTAATTTACCTTCTAAAATATTTGGTTCTATATTGTATATTTTTCTACTATTGGATATCTTTTAGTTTTATTCTATATTACTATTATTAATTTTGATTTTTATGTAAAATTTGTTGATATAAAATTTATTTGAAAATAATAAGATAATAATATAATTAATAATATAATAATATAATTTATAAAATAATAAAATAATAACTTTTTACAAAAATTAAGGAAAATTTATTTTGTAAATTAAACGCTATATGACAATAATTATGACGAGTAGAATATTAAAATAAGAAATAGAACAAACTGTTTTAATTAAATTGTCTCAATAATATGTATTTATTAATATATACTGTTTTCATATATATTAATAATATATTAATAAATATTTCACAAGAAGAGAAGGTAACCAAATTATTGCACAATTGCTACTGTAGTTTATACCATTACAGATTTATCATTAGCTAATTACAGGTAACTCGCAGCACCTTTGAACTCGAAAGTGAAAAAGTTTGAACTGTATAAATTGTACTTTAAATAAATTTTAAATAATATTTATATAATATATTATACATAATCTTACTGAGCATACAATATTTAGTATGAATACTTTTCGGTATTATTCTATGCTTAAAACCAAATAAAAGTTTCATTTTTTAATTGATTACCACTATTAATAATTATTTCAAATATTTATATAAATTAATTAGACGGTTACTATGACATGAATACATAGAAAATAAAATAATTTCTTACTAAATATCGAATTTTTATTTTAAAACAATAAATACAATTTTACTTAATATATTGTTACTTGATATAAATTTAATATTAATAAGTATTTTCATTTATTATTTTATTTTTTATTTCTTTAAATATTTATAATAAAATAAAATAACAGATAGTTTGAAATACATATTTTTAAATTAATACTTTAAAACAAAGATGATTAAAAGAAAAGTCAAAATAAAATGTAAATAAAAATATTTCAAAAT